ACAATCTTTGAATTGTTCTCCGGCTGGCAAAGGGCGTGTGCACCCAGAAACTTGCAAAGACAGATGTTTTTTTGCTACTATTCTGTTGGTCTGATAAAAGATATTGCCTCTGACCCAAGAGCTTTGTTTATCTCTCTTTCTCAGACTAACACGGCTATAACCTAGATTCCCTTCATGGAGCTGTGCACTCCTCCTCCTGGGTTAGCACAGTTGTCACTCATGGAGCTGTGCCGTGTATCATTTCTTAACAAACACAGGCTATATTAATCAACTTCTCTCTTTCAGTAGTAAAGGTTGCCCCAGACTCGAGCATTATGAACAGGTTTGCTCCAAATAAACCTGCTGTTTCCCAGCCAGTGAGATCTACGTGAGCAATTTGAAATCATTGGGGTTTTGCTGTGGCGTGAGGAGCTATTTACAAGGGTTCAGTTGCAGAATAGTGGCCATATATCTTTCATTACCGTGTCAGTAATGTACTTGCTGGAGGTTTTTAGGTTGTTTTCTTTATACATGTACATAGTAGTGATGCTTTACTACTTTTTGATTACTTAAGTAAGGAGGAAAGCATGATTCATTTTATGCCATAAATGTGCTTATGAATAGAGAGATATTTGAAGCACAGTAGAAATGTATTAATCTGTATGCTAGTCAGTAAGTTACAAGGTACTTTACTTTTTTTCTTGCCTTTCATTTTCCACTAACACTACATTTATTGCATTGTCTTTTCTTTGCAAACACACAGACTAGAATTTTTTTTTTTTTGGCTTAATGTAAGCTTAGATTCTCGGGTTCAGCCTCCTTAGATTCAGCCTTCAAGAGCTGTCGTCCTAGGTATGGGCTTGCCTTAATCTGGTTCTGCTTCAGTTTATGAATTGCTCTCCTGTCTGCCTTTGGTACTGATAACTTTTCCCCAGAAGCAGAAGCAACCAACAAGATTTTTGACAGTTGTTGCCCATTGGTTCTTCATCATAAAGAATAGGCTGGAAAGCTTAAGCAGCTACAGAGGTATTCTATAGTTTTGCAGGCTGAAGAGGACACACCACAGTAGTTCACATTCAGGGGTGTATTGTAGTAAATCTGTTAGAATATTTCCTTTAATAAAAGTAAAGTCTGGATGATTTGAGGTAGTCTTAAGTCCCTGGCAGATGTTAAAATAATGGTGCCATTGGAATTGAAGAAATTTTTATGCCACACCCCAAACTTTGTACCTCCTGCCATTCCTGATGTGCATGGCAGAAAGCGGGATGTTTGGGATGAAGCATAAAATGTCTTCAATCCTAATTACACAGCTGCTGAGCTGCTCCCAGCCTGATCCTGTAGACAGGGTGGCTCCGTCACAGTCTTATGGCTTCCCTCAGCCCCCTCCCCCCAGGTTTGGGACATGGGGCTGTCGGAGCCAAATCCAGCAATCAGCCAATTGTTGGACTCAACCCTGAAAGCTCCAGGTTGGTTTGAGACACAGGACTATTGGGGCCAGGTCTGACAGTCAGCTAATTGTTGGCCTGGCCCTGGGACAGCCTAGCTGAGATCGTGGGACTGAGGAGGTGTCCTGGGACATCTAAAAGCACATGTTCAGTCTGGCTTCCTGCAACCTGGCATTTTTAAGAGCCTTGCTCTGCAGTCCCCAAAGGGGAAGGCTGCTGTGCTTCCCCCCCCACCAAGGAACCTTACAACCAGATCTCCCACTAGCCAGTTCTTGCCATCGGGACCAGGGATGTCTGAACTGTGAACCAGCTGCAGGAGAAAGGCATGCTGATTCTGCCACAGCTCTGCTGTGTTTGGCTCCAGTGTATCCTCTGCGAACTAAGGTGTGCAGGGCAGTTTCACCTGTGGCAGCAATAGTCCGCAGGCAACAGCTGCTTCCACCAGGTAGGATGACCTCGTACGCCTCTTTTCAGGAGGCATGCTTCCCATCTTTGTCAGGGCTCAACGAGGAAGTTGCAGCAGAATAGACATGCCTGCCTGCCTTACGTAACGTACTATGGCGCACCTTTCTCCTGCAACTGCTTTTCAGTTTGCCTCTGACATGTCTGCAAAGGGCAGTTTCATTACATGGCACTGGTGTTGACAGCAGGGCTGGCATCGCAGCACTCTCGGCAGGTTCGTGCGGCACCCCAGCTGTGAACGGCTGGTTTAAGGGGTCCCTGTTGAAAGAGTGCTTGTTAAGGACACGTTGTCAAGGCAAGTAGCAGTTTAGGTATGTTAAAGAAGTGCACTGAAATAATTCATGGTTATACTGCTTCTTTGTAGTAATATAAAGCAAACGTGTGCATTTCCTGGGATGGACTTTTCCAAGGGGGCCTCACTGGTGTATTTCTAGGTGTGAACCATCTGAGTGGGTGGGTGGGCCAGGTT